TAGCGTTATATACACTATACAGTGTTGTGATGATTTAATGAAACATATTGACGATTAAATTAAAACCCATCCATATAAAATTATTATTTTTAATGAAAAAAAAATCTTTGCAAAATTAATTAAAATAACAAAAGGAATAATAAAAGAAATTTCAATAATGCTTTGTCTATATTTTATTTATTTTTGCAAAGATTATAATTTTATATGGATGGGTTTTAATTTAATCGTCAATATGTTTCATTAAATCATCACAACACTGTATATAGGATTAGGATTATTTTATATATAATTATTTTTAAATTCAGTTAGGTTAAACAAGTGCCTTTTAGATAAATGTTTTTGGTTTTTATGGCTATAACATTTAATATGGATACTTTACATATTATATTAATTCAAAAAATACATTTTAGAGCATCCTTGAACTTTTCTCACTCTTCTTCAGTTATTTTTATATAAATTTTTAACTTTTCACACCTCAAACCATTAGAAAAATAATTATCTTTTTTTTAAAAAAAAATTTTAATAAAAAAAAAGAATTTATTTTAAAATTTTTAATATATTTATACTACTTTTTACACCTTAATTGAATTGATACGATATAATATATATTTTTTTAAATATCATTTTCAAAATATCTCATCTTACTAGAATTGATATTTAGGTGGAAAAACTGGTATTTTTTTAAAAAATATTATAATTAAACACCGGAAATATTGGCCAGGTGTAAAAAATAGATAAAGTGGAATTGGCTTCAAAAAAAAAATTAAATTAAAACTAAATAAAAATGATGATAATTATAATAAAAAATCAATCAATATAATATATCCATTATATAAAAGCTTATACAAATCATTAAAAAAAAAGCAAATAATTTATCATATTTTGAAATTATTATTAATTATAATATTAAATATTATAAGGTCAATATATTAAAAGCCACTTATAGTTAGTTATTTCTATATAATCATTGATAAATAGAATATGTTTATATGGTAGTGAAGTGTTAGTGAGAAGGGGCAGACTAGCGATGCTTTGGCTAGCGACCTGCCCCGGTCTGAACCCTATTTTTATTTATAAAAGTCGGTTCGGGCTGCCGAATATTTTTTAAAAAATCGTGCCGGGTTTAAATTTTCAATTAAAATTGATATATTTTAAGATTTTTCCAAAAAAAAGGTACCAACATTTTATATTTGTTTGTAGAATAGTCGAAAATTCGATTATGTTTTCAGTGAAAATTAATTTCTATATTTAAATTAATCTAAGCCGGGCAAATAAATAGTTATTATTTTGGATCAGACTTTTCGGAATAAATATATTAAAATTTGTTGGATGTAATAAAGATAAAAAGACTAGTGTTGTAACATGTAAAATCATACAAATTGCACATATAAAATCTGGCATATTGCAAATATAGTTTCACTTTGCACATATAATTTAAATAAATGAATTAAACGCATTACATAATTTTTAAGTAAAATCTTGCATTGACTTAAACTTTGGCAAAAACAAGAATTTATTCTAGTCGAATTTTCGCCAACAATCCTCTTTCAGCAGACATTACTAAATGCCACCAATTTATTTTGGCTGGTAAACTTGCCCTCGGCTTATTTTTGCAATTTTTATGTTATTCACAATTCACTTGTATAAATAATAATGTTTAAATGCATTCATAAACAAAAAAGATATTACTCTATACAGTTGCGGTATTATAGGGCTAAAAATTCTCATTAACACATATTAAGCATTGATTTCACTAGTTATTATACTCGGAATCATTGTTATTATACTGTTTTATGTCATTTCTATTATTAAATCCCTTAGTCATTTTTGATACTAATAATATCTTCATTTCATTTCGTGATTTGAGACTTAAATAGTATCGTCAATCATAGAACCTTTTCCAAAACCTTTTCAGAATTACTTTGATATTTGTTTCATCAAAATATTACTGATGCAAATACCGCACATTCGATATAAGCTTTTATTCACATAAAACTTTTATGTAAAGTAAAAAATTTTATAGAGATCAATCGGATATTATGGGTGTTTATCTCTGCATCGCTTTACTTTCTCCTTGTTAGACTATTAGAATTTTCTGGCATTCGTTTAGCTGCTATCTAGCAGCTTTAAATCAGAAATCTTTTTGTTTAAATTTGTAGTAATCTTTATAGTTTATTATAGGTTGATGTGAAAGTTATGAGACGAAGAAGATTTGACATCTTGTAAAAGTGATCATATTTTTTAGTTTTAAAGAAAACATTTAATATTTAAAATATACACAAATACGCAATCAAAGATTGACCTTCAATATTAGATAATTTTAAATTAATAAAAGACCCATGCCAAGATGATTAAATTAATTATTCCTTATAATTTTTATATACCCAGGGTTTATTTAATTTCAATAAGTAACACGATTTGCAATAATAAAAATGTATACTATACTTGTGCAATGAATTGTAAAATAATGTGTAAAAATAGGAATCAATTAAAGTGACTTTCACTCAAACGGAAACGAAATGAAATTTGAAAAAACACGTAAGATTGTTAAAAATAATTCTCGAGAAATTTTATGAAAGATATCATCAATATAAATTGATATGTCTAATAAAGATCTGCAAATCCCCGCCCGGCCTGACCGAGTCTATTTAAAAAAAATGATTTTAGTTTGGGCTGCGTCGGGTCGGGTCTAGCATTTTTTAGAGAATTTCTGCCCAGGCTGAGCTTTAAATTTTAAATATCAAATAAATTGATATATTTTAAAAATTTTATAGAAACAAGACGCTAATATTTTTTATTTATAGAATATTTTTTTAAAATAAAAAAAATTAAATTTTTCTATATTAAAATAAATTCGAGCCTGGTCGAGCCTGGCGAACAAATAATTTTCAGTTTTATTTCGGGACAAATAAAAAAAATTTCGGGCCAGGCCTGAGAAATTAGGCCTGATACAGATTATTAATACCTAAATCTAGTTTTAAAAAAAAGGCAATAAGAAAATTGAACGCGCGGTCAAAAGTATATAAAACGGCAAAACCATATCTTAAAATAAGCAATATCACCCCTCAAAAAACAGTTTGACCGATATTTAACCAGTTTAAAAGTCAATTATGTTTTTATGAATTACCACTAATTAGTATAATAAATAGTATATAAAATGTGCTCATAAACAAATACATATCATTTTTGGTAGATTTATTTTTTTAGAAATAGTGTTTCAATTGCTTTGCTTGAGTTTTTTTTTAAATATCTTTTAATTAATAAATATAAGTTATAACAAATTTTCCCGCTGTATTTTAAATCAATTTCGGTTTTTTGTATGAATATTACCCAAATCGGACTATTTCTTATTTAAAAAATATTTGAACGTTACCATTCTCATCTTTAAAGTAAAAAAATTTGTCTATCATAATAAAAAAAAGATTTATTAATAGCTTACATAGGTACGGATAACTTAATTAAAATATAAAATTTCCATTACCCAATTAATTGTGAACATTAATAACATAACTTTACTTGATAGTGATAGTTTGAAGAAAATATTTAAGGATATCTGAGTATTTTCCTACATAGTAATAGTTTTTATACCTTAAAAAGAGGCGGAGAAACAATTATAGATTTTTCTATCAAGTTAAAAGTATTTCCTCACTATTTCATTTTAAATAGCCTGTTGAAGAACCTTTAAGAGATTTAGGATTAGACTTGCCTGAGTTTGATAAAGAGCTTCGGTCAAAGTATACCGAAGGCAATATCACTTGAAGATACGGTGGGTTTAGCTATCGTGCTCTCTTCCTTGGAAAAGGAAACCCAGGTATAAGTTAACAAAATCATAAACATAAGCAGACGCAAGGTTCTAAAAACACGTATTTTAGGAATAATAGATATAATAACGGTAATAAATTTATTAATTATAGTTATAATGCCAACTAAAGTGGTTAAATGGCTCATTTTGAGCCGATTTTTAAAAACGGCTAACTCAATATTTTATTAGGAAAAATATTATGCAAGCCTTAAGATTTTGATTACAGGTGGCACAAATGTTTGAACATCTATTAATTAAATCTCGAGGCTTACACAATATTTTTCTGGCTAAAATATTGAGTTAGCCATTTTTTAATGTAAAAATAATATTTTTATTTTAGTATAACTGACTTTTTCAAAACAATTACAACTTATATACACTACCGGCCATAAATGATTGCCCACCCTGCATTTTCTCAACATTTTAAAATAAGACAAATAATACACAACATGATGTTTATCAAATTTATTTATAAGTTTACATATTATTGCATAAAATTACAAAAAATAAAAGACATAGCAATTAATTAAGATCAAATTTTGGTCTCATCAATATGACCACCTTTATTCTTAAAATTGCTACACAAATTTTTGGTAATCTTTGAGATTTTTTAAATATTCGGAATTGATATTGTTCTATTCTCTCTTTAATATTTCCCAAAGGTGCAAATGAGAGGTTAGAGGGCTTTTTCACGCTTGTCGATCAAAGTGATCCCATAAAAGTTCGATTGGATTGAGATCGAGAGACTAGGATGGCCAAGTCATCAACTCGAGAATACCGTGTTGTTGTAGATTTTGTAAATAATCTTTGCATAGCCTGGATATATGCTTTGGGTCAATATCTTGTTGAAATAAAAAGTTATTCCCGATCAAACGCTTTCCTGATGAAATCAAATGGTCCTAAATGATTTGCTGGTATCCCTCCTTGTTAAGGATTCCTTTAATTTTGACAATGTTGCCGGTTGCCCCGGCACCAAAGCATCCCCACACCATAACAGATCCTCCTCCGAATTTGACTGTAGGAATTCTACAGTGATCGCTCATTCTCTCTCCAGCTAAGCGGCGGATATATTGCCTTCTTTTAGAACCGAAGATTTCGAATTTTGAATCATAACTCCATAAGTCGTGGCACCAGTTGACAGATGTCCAAAATTAATGTTTTCGTGCCCAGTCTAATCGCTTGAGTTTATTTTTTTTGCTCAAGAGTGGTTTTTGACCGCTACCCTACCATAAAGTTCAAAGCTCCTAAGGCGCCTTTTCACAGTTGTGACACTTATCGGGTTTTCCCACAGATTAATCTCCGCAGCTATCTCTGAGGCGACAAGACGTCGATTGCGTTTACTGATCCTTGCTATATACCTATCATCGCTTAAAGTCGTTTTGTAGGGTCTTCCAGGCCTCTTTGGATTCGATATTGTATTATTGTTGCGTAATCTTTTAAGTATACAATCGACTGTTCGTCGAGGTAGGGTTAATTCTCTGGCAATTCGGCTATTACTTTTACCACTTATGTGCAATTTAATTATTTTGCATTTAGTTGGAATAGAAATTTCTTTTCTTTTAATCATTAATTTATAAAGACTGAAAGTTTCTTTAAACAATGATTTAAAACAAAAAAAAATCTAGGAATTTGTTTTAAAATAATTAAAAATAGGTATTAATAAGCAGATTAGAATGTGATTAATGACTTTCTTCCAAAAAACAATGGGCAACTTAAAATTGTTGCTGAAAAAAACTAATAAACCCTATTTTACCAAATTGGTCATTCTTGACATGTTGTTTACAAAGGCTAAAATTTCATAGAAAGATTTATAGAAATTCCGAGTTTTTTATTTCTAAACACGTCTAGACATCTTAAATTAATTGATCAATTCGCTTTTACCAAAATAAGTTAAAAAGTTTTAAGTTGTTAATTTTTTATGTAAAAATGCAGGGTGGGCAGTCATTTATGACCGGTAGTGTATATCTATTTTTATATAAAAAATAGAATATATATATAAAAAATCAAGGCGAAATGAAATAAAAAGAACTAGTTAAATAAGTGTTTTTTACAATAATTAACTTACCAATTAATCAAGGCAAAATGAAATAAAAAGTACTAGTTAAATAAGTATTTTTTACAAAATAAAATTAAGAATAATTATTATTCAACATTCTCCTTCTTCTAAAAGAACCTTCCCAAAAAATCTTCAAAGCTGTCATAGAAAGTTAGTTTTCCCAACAGTTTATCGTTTTAGGTATCAAGTTGTTTCATAAGTCATCGTAATCGTTGGCGTCCCAATCGTTCCATTGAATTGCTGGTGATATGCGGACGTGGGCACATGTTTGATATTATAATCATTGCAAAATTTTTTAAAATCATTACTTGTGAAGTTAGTGCCGTTATCAGTAACTATAGTTTCAGGTATATAGCGAAATAGTTTTAAAAATTTCTTTTAAAGTAACATCGGTCGTAATATTTTTAACAGGAACAATAATTGGAAATTTGCTATAGGCATCGACTATTATCAACCAATTTCTTGTGAAAAACGGACCCGCATAATCTATGTATATCCTTTCAAATGATTTGGTTGCCGAAACCCATGGTTTTTGTATCTTTTTAGGATTTTCATGATATATGTTACAATCGTCACAACTTTTCACTTCCATGTCTATGTCATTATTTATACCAGACCACCACATGTAATCTTTGGCTAAGGATTTGATTTTTCCTGCTCCCAAGTGACCTTCATGTAATGACTCTAGTACATTTTTTATCATAGCAGACGGAATTATGATTTTGTTGCTTTTGTAAAGACAATCCTTAATTATAAATTCCAATTCATTGTTTTTATAGATATTGTTCTTTATAGGCACGTTGTTCTTAATATGATTTATGACTTGTTTTAATTCAATATCTTTGAAAGTTTCATCACGTATTTGCTTTCTCTGATTGTTGTCGCTACCTCTATAATTATTTAAATTGTTACTATAGGATGGTAAACGATTTCGATCACCAGATTGGATCTGTTTTCTCTGATTATTATCATGCCATGTATTATTTCTACCATAATTAGATTGATTATTATTGTTGTAGCGATAGTTGTTGTAGTTATAGTTATTATAATTATCATAGTATCTAGAATTATTATTACCATAATTCCTAACATAGTATCTAAAATTATTATTGTCGTAATTCCTATTTTTATTCCTATTATAATTATTATATCTATTATCATAATTTTGTCTAAAATTATTTCTAAAATTATTATTAGGTTAAAATAATTATTATTGTTATTTCTGCAATTATTTCTAGGAAAACTGTTATCGGAAGAGCTTTGGTTAACTAAATCTTTGTGCTCATTATCTTTAATGTTAAAGTTTTTATCTTTATCGGACTTTTTATCGTAATTCACATAACTTATATTATCAATATCTGATTTATTATTAATGCTATCTAATCTACTTCCTATCTCCACCATTTCTTTTAAGGTTAAATTAATATTTTTACTTAATTTATATTTTATTTTATCGTTTAAGGAAGACGTTAACTTTTCTTTTATCCTACTATCATCTGAAAAATGACATTTTTTATTTAATTTAGATACTCTAACGTACCATTCTAAAAAAAATTTATTAGAATTTTGGCATGATAAGTTAAATTTGTTAATTGAAATATTTTTATCCTGTATTGGTAAAAGGTATCCTAATTTCTTAATCACTGTATTAAAATCTAAAATCTCAGTATTTGAACAAATATATTATATTGTCAAACACATCATCAGATAAATTAGCAAGTAAAGTATTTATTTTAACGGAGTCCTATTATGTGCTGGTCGAAAAGTAACTTAACACCCTATCTATGTAAACCTCAGTCAGTAGTCCAATAAGCTTAGGAAATTTGTAAGGTGTATAATCAGGTAATTTTATGTTCATTTATTATTAACTTTTATAGTGTTGTTAAATTACTGACCATCTCTATTGTGGCTTGGTCAAGCTTTTCGCTTAAAAAATTGAATTAAGCTTCTAAACTGAGTCTCAACTTGAAGATTGATTTGAATATTTTTGGATAAATACATAGTTACACTATTTTATAGTTGACTAAAGTTAGGCATTTTAACAACACTTAACTTTTATAAAATATTGCATTAACATAATATATCATAAACAAAAATGTTAATGTGTTTTTTCGTAATATAAAAATGATGATGTTTAAATTTTCACGAATGTGTATCTTAATTGCACGAATTTTGAATCATTGTATGCAAAGAACTTGCCATTTGAGGCCTCGTAGTAACGTAGCATCTCCTTCAAATTATAAAATTAGAAGAAGATGTCTCCATGAGCAGGTCCTCTATTGAACATCACAATTATCGGTAAGCTCCCACAAAATATCATATACTGAGACCGCAGATGGAATGTTGGATATTTTAAATGAATACATCGAAATTGTATAATAAAATATCGTTGAAAGAAAAAAATAATTTTTGTTTTTATTTAATGTTTTTGCATGTTAAATATTAAATCTCACCATTATTAAAAAATGGAAGAGAAAAAATTCAAAAAAATAAAATATAAAGGATTATGGTGAGTATTTTTTACCATATCACCCGGAGTACCATGTTAAAATAATATTTTTATTTTAGTATAACTGACTTTTTCAAAACAATTACAACTAATAAATATATATACATTTTTATACAAAAATTAGAATATATTTATATATATAAAATCAAGGTGAAATGAAATAAAAAGAACTAGTAAAATAAGTGTTTTTTACAATAGTTAACTTACCAAATGATCAAGGCAAAATGAAATGAAAAGTACTAGTTAAATAAGTATTTTTTACAAAATAAAAAAGAATAATCATTATTCAACATTTAAAATCGGCCCAAATCAAGCCGTTAACAACACTAATGCCAACAAATAAAATCATGATAATTATATTCTTAATAATTATAAATCTAGTTTTAAATCTAACTTCATACAAAAAAAAACTTATGGTTCGATGCGGCAAGGCAAACCACATAGCAAAAGTTTGTAGAACTCATGTCATAGAGATTCTATCGCGGACACCTCGCCTGTCATCTCTTAATAAAGCTACCATTGATGCGAAGATAAATGGTTTGCGGTGTACAATTGAATTCGTGCTGTGTGCAGTGTGATAGATAAAGTTTCCTGGAATTCCTATATATTATTATATAATACATGTAGGAGATCTATTTATTTTTATCATGGTATGGTTTATATTATTTATATATATCAAATTCTAATATATTTTTAAACTATACTTAAAATATTAAAATAATAATTTATCAATTTATTAGACTATTGATACTATGGTTAAAAAGGCAGACCAGCGTAAAAGGTATATCTTGCCTGTGCTTATCTCAACTTAAAAAATGGTATATAAATAAAAGCTTGAACTCACAATATTTAATTATCACAAAATTTAGGTTTCATACATTTGAAGACTACCTAGTGCATGAACTTATAGGACCAGAAAAAATCACAGAAATAGATGAGACTATTTAAGATGATATATAATATAGGTAAATTCCTTCCTACTAGAGCACTCTATAAACTAATCAATACAATAAGGGAATGTAAAGAAATTATCAAAATTAGCACATTTTGAGTGTATCCATCAGGGACGAACCGTTATTTATAACGGTTCAGTATGTAAAAAATTATAATGATTACGTTCTGGTTTCTTAAGAATAAATTCATAAGGGTTCGGTTCGGTTCTACTAATTATAAAGGTTTATAAAGGTTCATTCCGGTTAGAAATTTTTTTTTATTGAAGCAACACTATCATATAATGATTTTAATTATAAATTTATTAAAAATTTTGCCATCACTAATTTATTTTTTATTATAAACATATATAAATTATATATAAAAAAAATATATGTCAAAATAACTCATTTTTAAATATATTATTTGAACGTATAATAAGTAATATATTTTCTAATATAAATGGATTCATATTTGTTCGTTGAGGCGATAACACAAATTTTAGCCCCGAAAAGGCCTTTTCTACAGAAACTTGGATTGCTGGAAATGCCAGTGCTATAAGAGCAAATACAATTCTGGATATTCAAATTTTTTCGATTCCCAAAATATGAAAACTGATAATTTTTTGGCGATCCTTTCAACACCTTCAAACAATTCAATAATATTTCTAATATTATGTTCTTTGTGTGCATTTGAAGTAGCTTTTTTAAATTCCGACTCACGGGCTATCAGAAGCTTTTCTAATTCATCATCTGTTTTATGATCTTTGGAGCGATAGGTAGATTGCAATATATCCATTTCTAGGCTATCATCATTTTCCAAGGCCTATATATTTTAAATGAAAAATAACTTTTAAAATAAATCCGGACAATAATCAAAATAAGGCTAAATAAAATATGTGGACCTGAATTGCTTTCCATGTTTTATTTAAATGATCTTTGGCAGTCAATTTTTCATCTTCTATCAGCAATATCTGATAACGTGGGTCCATATATAAGGCTGCGCAAAAGGCATCATTTCTAATATTCGCCTCTTTTGCCTTGATACATGTTGAAAGGTGCTGAGAAAAAGG